ATTGGACTAAAATTGGTCAAACGGCAGGCATTTATGTAACGTTAACATTTTCTAAAAGCAATTGTCCCACACTGTATAACGATAATTGCTAATCATAACGATAATCAACTTCTTCCCTTCGTGTGTGTATTATTAATTTATTTTGCTGTATAAAATTTCTTTCTTTAGCGACTAGTAAAAGATCATTACTATGCGTTTAAAAGCTTCATAATAACGATAAGAGTTTTAGCAAACAACTAAAGCGAGTGAAAAGCTAACTTCACAATAAGATGAAAGAAAATATTATAATACAAAAGACAATTAATAAACATATGATTGCAAACCTTATTGGCAAAATAATCTAACTTGATTTAAAGAAAGCTGTATTTACTTGAATTCCTTTTTGTCTTCTGGAATCACATTACTACATCAATTGAATTTAAACTTAAGCCAGATATACAAGATTTAAAGATAAGAGAATATTCATACACCGCAGTGTTTGTATACCATGGGACAGGAAACATGGGACACGGACATGCCCGTACGCGCGTCTATTAATATTAATGCAGGCACATCAATTGTTAATTCCAGTTAAAGGATTTAGTGCTGGCCAAGGTTGAAATCGACTTGTGCGAACAAAGACACGGACGTGGGACTTTTGGATATTCCCCGTGTCCAAAAAATCACCGGACGACTAGTGCATCAAAACATCACGTATGTATTATTAGTCCCGACCTTTGCCACCATCTCTGAAGCATATTCCAGCCACATATAATGTGTATTTTGATCCAGAATTGGCATTTTACATGGACGACTTCCCAAGACGACGACATACAAGTATAGGATACATTATCGCTAGCAATGCTGTCGGCATAACAATTTACGCGGCACAACCACAAGCCACGATCCACTACTGTCCTTAGATGCTACTTCCCTCATCACGGAGCTTGCCATTACACACCTACCCGTATTGACTTGTTAACATCAAAATTTTTAATAAGTTCGTCCTAATGACTTCACCTTTCTTTTTGGAGATGTTTTCAATGATTCTCATATTTTCTATTCGAGGATTGAACAAGTAATAAACGAAAAATTAACTTCTACCGAGAAGAAATTAAAGGCAACCGAAGCTGACAAAGAAAGGACCTAGAAAATTCACCTGGGAAAACCCCCAAGCAATAGACGCGTATAATATATGGTATAGGCTTAACACAACTGACGAGCATACACTAACGCTAAGATTTAGAATGTTAGATGAATTTATCCATCAAGTTGATCCGCGTCTAACCATATCTGTTATAATCGACCAATCATTATTTAAGTAACTGATCATTGACGTGGCAAACTTTTATCTGCCTTTTTTTCTTTTGTAATTTAAAATAATGAAACTTAAAGAAATTCCTCGCACTGCAACTTTTGCCTGGAGCCCTGGGCAGCATTTGCCCATTATCGCTAGTGGCACGGTTGCTGGTGCCCTCGATGCTTCATTTTCGAACACTACAGAGTTGGAACTTTTCCACCTGGATTTACATAATTCTGATGCTAGTAACGAATTAAAACCTGCAGGTGTTGTTACTAGTAATACAAGGTACTTATTCAACTTCAAAAAAGTCTTTGTAAACGAATGCGTTGCATTCACTTTCACGAGCTTATAAAATTTCTTGATTGGTATTTAGATTTGACAGACTTGCATGGGGAAACGCTTCTGATAAAGCATATGGCATTATTGCTGGCGGCATGGAAAATGGTGAATTGGATTTGTGGGATCCAGCAGTTATTTTAGAGGGTGGCGAGTAAGTAATTAATTAAGATGTAGATGCTGTATAATCATCGATTGATTCGAATTCTTTGCTGTAGTGCTGAAAAAGCTCTTCTGTTGCGAAACAAGCAACATTCCGGTAATGTTCGTGGACTTCAGTTCAATCCTTTCCAGAATAATGTATTGGGATCAGCGGCTACGAACGGCGAAGTAATTTGTTGCGATTTGCTTTTAATCTGATCTATAAATAATCCTCTACGAAAGAATAACATATCGTCTTCAATTTTAGATCTTTATTTGGGATTTGACAAATCCCGAAAAACCTTATGGTCCGGGTACACGATCCCCAAAACTCGAAGAAATCACATATTTGGCCTGGAACAATCAAGTACAACACATATTAGCCACATCATCGACCACAGGTTACACAGTGATTTGGGATTTGAAAAATAAACGCGAGGTAATGCATCTATCATACAGTGGCCCCACTGCGAATATAGGCACACCATATGGGATGGGTACATTAAATGTGGCTGGAGCTCTTGGAGGTGGTGGTAGAAGAGGAACTACTTCGGTTGCTTGGAATCCAGATGTGGTAAGTTGCAAGAATTAACGATACTCTAACCATACAAGGTAATATTTTTACCATGATTACCAATTAAATTTATTAAAGGCTACACAATTAATTACCGCTTCTGAAGACGACAATAATCCCGTGATAGTAATGTGGGATCTTCGTAACGCACATGCTCCAGAAAAGGTACCTTGATAAAAATTATAATTACTTTTTTATTTGATGTATTAACAAATATTGTATTTAATAGGTTTTAACCGGACATACAAAAGGGGTTCTAGCACTTTCTTGGTGTCGAAAAGATGCCGATCTATTGTTATCAAGTGGAAAAGATAATCGAACATTATGTTGGAATCCAAGAACAAGTGAAAAAATGGGCGAAGTAATATCTCAAATCATATTGTATTTAACTAAATATTGAAATCTCTACCCTTAATGATATACCCTAACGTCATTGCGATAAAACATTTTATAGCTTCCTCCTAGTTTAAATTGGACTTTTGACGTTCAATGGTGTCCTGGAAACCCAGATTTATTGGCAACCGCTTCTTTTGATGGCAAGGTATTCGAAGCTTTGTTAACCTCTCCAACAAAAATACACTGCACAACTCTATATTAAATAATATATATTCTCACCACCATCGGATATACCAAAAGATCAGTGTGCATTCGTTGCAGTCAGCTCAAGATCCTCAGCCTTCAATACCGCAAAGTGATGATCCTTTCGCGCCGATCACATCATCTTATCATCAGCCATCTTTGTCATTAAAGCAACCACCTAAATGGCTAAGGCGTCCTGTTGGGGCTATTTTCGGCTTTGGTGGCAAAATAGTGTTTTTTACTAACAAACCAATAGTGGGAATAAGTGGTACCACTTATCGTGTTATAACCTCTACTCCTATCACAGAACCTGAAGTCGTGAAAAAATCTGTTGAATTAGAAGCATCTATTGAGGCAAAAGCACTTTCTCACTTTTGTGAGAATCGTGGGAAAGAGGCGCGTAATGATCTCGAATCTGAGAATTGGAAAGTGCTTCAAACCTTGTTTAACGAAGATGCACGTGAACAATTAGTTCAACACCTGGGATTTTCAAAAACTGAGGTGGTTACGCAGATAACAGAGGCAATCAAGTCAATGAAATTGGACGCCACACCCAAAACAGAGAATGAGTCGACAGTTTCAGAGCCAAGTAGTCTTACGGACACGGGTAAAGTGGTCATTTCTAGTAGTTCTGCAGATGAGACAAGTGAATCGCAAAACATCACCAGTAAAAAAGATGATGGCCTTGATGCTCTTTTCGCTGATGCACCTAATTCAGGTGGACTATCGGATGCTTCTGATTTATTTAATTCTAATACAACTACCGACGCATTCCCCGTCACCGCGACTCTACCGACTTCAACGGAAGAAAAAACTTTGACAGCTTTCAATTTGGGAACTTTTAAAATTTATCCAACTGATGAATCAGAATACGATAAACTTATTACGCGTTCAATCATTCTTGGAGATTTCGAATCTGCGGTCAATCTTTGTTTACAGGCTAACAGATTATCGGAGGCACTAGTTTTGGCGGGATTCGGAGGACCAGAGCTCTTGCAACGTACTCAAAATATATACTTTGAACGTTGCGTTTCAACGGTACCTTATCTTCGATTACTTCAGAGTATCGTCTCTGGAGATTTATCAGACATTGTATACAATGCAGATTTAAGTGAGTGGCAAGAAGTTGTAGTTGTACTATGCACTTTCGCTCGAGGTGAAGAATTTGCGGGATTGTGTAATGCATTGGGACAGAGATTAGAAGATCAGCATCGAAAGCTGGAACTAGATGCTGAAACCGAGGAAGCAAAAACACAATCTCTTCACTATCGAAGAAGCGCAGTATTATGCTATTTAGCATCGGGAAATCTTGAGAACGTTGTGAACATTTGGATTGCTGAACAAGAAGAGGAGGAATACGTAGAGCGTAAGAAAGCAGAACAAGAAGATAAAGCGCATCTTACTGAATCGCCATACTCATACCATGCAAAAACTTTGCAAAATTTAATTGAAAAGGTCACCGTTTTTCGAAAAGCAATCGATTACGTGGATCCAGCATTAATTCCAAATTTGGAGAGTGTTGAATCCACAGAATCAAATAATAAATCTTTCAAGCTGGCCAAACTATATCAAAAGTATGCAGAGTACGCTGAAATATTAGCAACGCAAGGTCGACTGAGCACCGCACTGAAATACATAAGTTTGATTCCATTAGAATATCAGAATAACGACATACAAGATTCATTATCTGTAATTAGAGAGAGAATATATAATTCGGGAGTCGACGTGGGTAACACTAAGCCACCCGCATTTCCATTTGAACAAGTTTTTGTTGGTGCCGATGGTGAATTTAATCCATTTAGTGCATCTAACGAGGTAAATCAATATCAACAAACTGCAATTAATAATAATATCGTTCAAGCATACAATCCACAACAACAACAAATCCCTGCAGGACAGACGAATTATTATAATCAACAACAAACATATCCATATAATGTCCAACAGCAAGTTGCAAATCCAGGTGGTGTATATCAACAACAGCCGCCGCCAGCATTGCAACAACAAATTTCACCCAATCAACAACCTATTGGTTATAATAATCGATTTGCTCAAGCAGGATATAATGTGTCAGCTCCTTATCAACCCGCTTATCCAACTGGTTATCCCCAACAATATCCGATCAATAATAATACGACTAATCAATTTATTCCGTCACCATTTCCTCCCGTTGCTGCTCAAGCCACTCCTTATCAAGTTAACGCAAATGCGAATGCGAACGCAGCTGCAAACCCCACCAATGACACACCTCCAGATATACCAGCAGCATATAAGAAAAACTTACCTAACTGGAATGATCCACCAATTGTATCAAATGCTCTGGCAAATAAACGGACAGCACAGGCACAATCTAATAATAAACCACAACCTATTACTTCACCTTTCCCAACATCAACCTCACCCGCTCCGGCTCCACTTGCTAATCCTAACTTCATGCAACCGCCGCTAGTTCCTGGTCAAGTCGGATACCTTCCACAACAACAACAACAACAACAAAATGTTTTACCGGCTCAACAACATCTACCTCCACCTCCCGCAGCAGCACCACAACATTATCCGACTCGTGGTGGTCCACCTCCGGGAGCTCCATATCAACCAATTCCACCACCAACTTCTCCTAAAAATGTTCCAGCAGCTAATTATTATGCGCAAAATCAAGCTGCTGCGAGAAATTCATCATCACCCCAAACTCGCCCATCTCAAGATTATTACGGGCCTGGTCGATCTACACCTACACCACCACCTAATCAAGCATATGCGGCTAATAATCCTGCAAATCTTGGTTTTCCCACGGCAACTAATGTCCCTCAAATACAAAACGCGCCTCAAATACAAAATACGACTCAAACTGCTTCACCTGTTCAACAAGCAAAATCACCTGCCCCAGAAAAAACACCAACTCCTGTGAACAAACATCGTATGTATCATCATTTTATACTCTGGATATATTATTTATATTATTGATTTTCACTATATTCGAAATATTTAGCCACGGGGGATCGAACTCATATTCCTCCCGCTCAAAAACCAATATACGAGATTCTCAGTAATGAACTGTTGCGAGCGCAGCAAAATTCTCCGGTAATTCTAATTTCATAAATATTAAATTCAAAACATTAGAACTTTTAATTAATTAAGTGGATGTATCAAAAAAAATTAGCCAAATCAAAAGAAGGTATTAGATGATACTGCGAAACGTCTTAACGCTTTATTTGATGAATTAAATAACGAACTTGTTCAGCCGGCAGTTATCGAAAGTTTATCCATTCTAGTTAAAGGTATGTTTGTGTTTTATTTTTTATTTAACTACTATTCCAGTTAAAGATGTATATATATATATATAACATATGAATGAATCTATTCTATCTAGCTTTACAAGTACGTGACTATGGAACTGCATCGAAAATTCAAGTTGATTTGATTACCAGATATGATGAGTGTCAAAAGTGGTTAATTGGGCTGAAAAGATTAATAGAAATTTTAAAGGGATTGCCTTAGAAAATAAAGAAAAATAGTTTATATTTATTTCAAAAGTAACTTTATAGAACTTTTAGTTTCAATTTCATATTTATATATAAAAACTATTGTAATATTTTCTTCTATTTAAAATAAAATCCTTTGTGACAAGAAACTCAAATTTCTGATTAAAAAATTGTACGGCACATCCATGCTCACAGAACAAAAACTACAAATCAAGATAGTTCAAGTTTATTTAATTTAGGGCATTGTTTAATCTTGTAAACAATAATTATGTGTGTATGTGTGTATATATATATATATATAAAAGTGTAATAAAATTGAAAAGTATACGCCAAAAGAATTTGTGGTATTATTGTTTATAAAGCAGCTTTCTACATAAGCAGCTTTTTTATGGACATTTATATTATTCATTACCGTTTTAGCTAAAAGGATGATCATTAGGTGGTGATATTTGAGTTGAAGATGGTGAAGAGATAAAGAGTTATTTATTAGTTCGTCACTCTAACAATCCAAAAGTATTTTCCCCAGAGTAACTATTATTATTATGGGAAGAATTAGAAACGAATTAAATTTAGTTAATAATGAAAATCGCAAATCAAGTATGAAATTATTATTGTAATTATTTACGTTATGTATAGGAATCCATCATCGTCTTTGTGTTCTTCATAGATACTTGACATCAAAGCAGCGGTAGGCGGAAGAACGTCATCGACAAAGATGAAGATTGCCTTTTCTGGACTCAACTTAATACGCTTCCGAATTACATAGACAAATTGTCCAACGGTTAAATCAGCTGGGACCAGATATTTCTTTTTATCGATTGTAGCAATATCTGACTTTTCAACTTTCTCACAAATAACCTTTACAATTCAATGACGAGAAGTAGAGATATAGCATATATATGAATACGTGTAAGTACAGCTTGCCTTTTAGTTGTTTCATAAAATGATAAACGAAACACTTACAGGTATTCTATCTGGATATTTTTGCCGGATCCTTTCGGCCTCAGCCTTTCGCTTTTCTATGATGGAGAAAAATGAATTTTATTTTATTTAGAGACTTGGAAAACGAAGAGTTAAGGTTATACGTGACTGCAATGCCGCAAGAAACTACATACCAAACGGGTGTTCATCCTTGAATTTCGACCTCATTTTTAATGGTGTAAAGATAAATGTCTTTGTTTAAAGAATAGAAGTTTTGTAAAATGTATAAATGTATATTATAATATAACCAAGAAAGGAGAAGTTGCGTGAATAAAAGGGTTGTGTGAACAACCGCCCGTTATATATGAGTTTAGTTAAATGGGCGCAGTGACGTATATGGTCATAAGTTTGGTCATTTGGCTGATGCAACGTGTACACGTAATTGTCTAATAATTAGAAATACTGCGGCCTCTGCGTTCTATAAAAAAATGGAACACACTTTATCGTGATTAGTAAAACCGTTATATCGCTTATTTACCGGTAGAAATTTTTTGCAATGCACTCAATTATAAGATTAGGTGCCCGAACTCATCTGCTACACTGTATAATCAGTTAATTTGAACAATTTAATTTAATAAAAGTATAACTAATATTTTATTTACAGTTATTATTAATAAATTTGAATTATTTTTTATAAATCAGCTTTTAAGGTAAAAGAAAATATTTTGGCAGAGATTGTAATGAAATAAATTTTGAAAATTGGCTTAATAATCAGCTTTTAGTTATATAGTACTTAGCTATAAAGGATCTGTTTTTGCATTAGCTTTTTAGTATATTTATTTTATCATAAATTATATTATTATAAAAAGTAACTTTATGTAGAATTTCTATTTATTAATACACATGTCAAATTATTGAAGTTTTATAATTAATCTTTCACACTTACTTTGCTAATTTCTGTTAAAAGCTCTGTTGTTTTTCACGTATTTCATTATATTACCAATTAGTTTTTTCTAATAATTTCAAGCTAACAAGTTTAAATTTATCAGATCTTATTAATTTGATTCTATAGTAATACTCAAGAAAAAAAAAGTGTAATTAGATAAAAAATCTTATTAATTAATAATAATTTGATTTTATAGTAATACTCAAGAAAAGAAAAGTATAATTAGATAAAAAATATTATATTTTTTATAATCTCAACATTTCACTCTTTGTTTTAATTAAATAAGTAAAAAAATATTGAAAAAGTATTAAAATTTATGATAATTGATCTATTTAAAAAAGTATATTAAGTAGGTTATTAAGTTTTATTTAAAAAAGTATATTAAGTAGGTTATTAAGTTTTACTAATTATTTTTAATCTTTTTTTTTAGTTAACTAACATAAAATATTATTTACTGCTGATATTAGTTCTATATTTTTATATTTATATTTTATTTATAAAAGTTCTGAATTTTAGATTAGCAAATAAGAAATTTATTTAAAAAAGAAAAAAATTAATTTTTTTATAAAAAATCTATTCAAATATAAGAATTTTAAAAAGTTATTTAATAAAATATTATGACTTTTTTTAAATTAATACTTTTTAATTTTGAATAAGATTAAATATAGAAAAAATAGTCTTAATTTAAAATAGTATATTAAATTTTTAAGAATTAAAGATAATATTTTTTAATATTTTCTTTTTTTTTATTATTTATATTTAATTTATAAAATATTATTTATTTTAAATATTTTATAAATATAATAATAATATTTTAAAATAGTTATTATAATATTTTTATTTATAAATTATATTTATTAAAATTTTAAAATATTATTATGAAATTTAAATTAGTAAAATAAAAAAAAATATTATATAATTTATTTAATACTTTATGAAAATTTATTTATATTTATATTTATGAAAATTTTACTATATAAAATAAAAACCATTTATTTGAAATCTTTTGAATAAATATCTTTTTAATATATTATTTTATTATATAAAAAAGTATAAATATTTAATAATTTTAATTTTAATTAAATAAATTATATTATTAATAAAAATTTAAAGTTTCTTAAAATATTTTAAGATTTTATAAAGAATTATATAAATAAAAATATATTTATTATTATATTTATTATAAGTAAAATTATATTTTTATAATTTATATAATATAAAAATATTATAATTTTAATATTTTATTATATTTAATAGCATTATTTTTATTAAATCTTATTTTTTTTATTTATAATTCATTTTATTTAAATATAAATAATTATTTTCTTTAAAATTAATAATATTTTAAATAAAAAAATTATAAAAGTTTCTGATATTAATCAAAAATTATAGTAAAATATTTAATAAATAGATAATAAACTTTTTTAATATTAAATTAATTTAAAATTAATTTTAAAATTTTATTTAAAAATATATAGTAATGATCAAAAATAATAACTAAGAGGCTAAATTTATTAATAAAACATAATAAAAATTGAAATTTTCTCTCTATATTAAAATAAATAATTTTATTAAGAAATAATTTTTATTTTTATATTAAAATAAAGTTTATCAGTTATAGTTTAATATATATTTTTTTCAGATTTTTTAGATTTTTTCTAAAAAAGTTGCTCTAATTATAAAGTTAATGCAATAATATATACAATAATATTAGACCTACATCTATAAAATTAGATCATGCTAAAAATTCTTATCAATATAATAATAATAATAGTAATAATAATAATAATAATTATGGTAGAAATAATAACAATTGTAATTGTTATAATTGTGACAAACCAGATCATTTTGCCAAGGATTATTATTCAAAAGAAAAAGTTAAAGTTAATAATATTGAAAATAATAGTAATAATATAATCATCACACAAAATAATAATATTAAATTTGCTTATCTTGAGGATAATCATGAAAAATTTCTGAAATTTAATGACTATATGAATAGAAAGTCTACTTGGATTTTGCTTGATAATAAAGTATCATAAAATTTTATTGATAAAATATATGTTCAGAAAAATCAATTACAAATATATAACATGAATCTAATCACTATAGAACTTGTTGATGGTTATAAAAAGAAAGTTAACTCATCTGTAATAATCAAGAAATTAAAGTTAGATACTTATTATATATCTGATATTAGTATATAAGTTCTCAATATTCAATGCTATAATCTTATACTTAATAAATCATGATTTTATCATGCTAATCTTACTATTAACTAGTATAATAATTTTATAATATTTAACTATAGTAATAAAGTAATCAAGATTAATACTAGCAAAGATAAACTTACATCTAGTTGCAACTTACTTTATATCTTTTGATAATAATTTACTGAAATTTCATCTAATGCTAAATTATTTATTATTTATATTGCAATTAAAAAAATATATCAAGAAGTATCAACTTTTTGTGAAGTTATCTAACTAATTAAAGAATTTACTAATATATTTCCTACTTTACTTTCTAACAAGTTATAGTCCAGTGCAAAAATATAAATACATGAATATACTATATATAAATTTTTTTTAAAAGTAAAGTATTTATAATTTTAATTATTTAAATATAATTATATGCTATTTA